AACAAAAACAATAGGGTTCCAGCACTACGAGGTTGTGACATGGCGCCAGACTACATCGCCCAGAAGCCATCTCAAGTGACATGCTCACTGCACGCACCACGTAACATGACCGGGAGCACCTGTATCACGTTGTTGTCTAATTAGCAAGTATTTAAGTCATGCATTGTATAGCACTCTTTGTTGATCTTCAGTCATTGTCACCAACATTTATACCATGTTTCTGTGATTGCCTTGCCTTGTTCATGTCTCATAGTTTTTGTGTTGCTTTTGTTTCACTGTAAATTAACATGTACCTGCATCTCCCATCCACGACAGCAAGATCGATCTAACCATGGATGAAGCAGGATCCTTGGAATCACAGCATGCTCTCCTGGAGAAGAACCTCCTGATGTGGGAGCAACAGGGGAAGGGAGAATGGATAAACCCCACACTGGAATGACTCAAAGGAAAAAAATTTTAAAGAGGGGGCTCCCGACCAGGCTGGGACTATTAGCAGTAGGTGCTTGGACCCTTAATAATAATAATAAGAAGAAGAAAATGAACAACGGTAAGTTGGATCTGTCAAGTCAACTTAAAACGAATAATTTTGCCCAGAGGTAGCATATATATGGTGGTGGTGGTGGATGGTTTTGATGATGAAATTAGTGAACTTAGTTCAGTTTCTCTTAGGGGAGTAAAACATTCTAATTGTTGATCTGATTTCATTATATTATTATCTACAGGGTTAGTTATAAAACTGTAGTCTTCATGAAGTCATCCCTGACAATATAATGATTGTGTGCATGTTTCTATTGTGGTCTTATTCCTAGTCAATTTTGCTACAGTATTAAATAAGAATCTAGGATTACTTTCAATTAAGGTAGAGAGATACATTGATCTAGCAGCACTAAGAGCTTTTCTATAGCTCAAAAGGCTCTCCTCCCATGCTATTTGAAATACTACCAATTTAGTTTGATGCCATTTACATTATAGTTTTCGAGTGGTCTGTTTTAAGGTATGTGTGTGATCGTTATACCAGGGTGCTAGCTTTTTTTCTCTAATTATTTTTCTTTTAAGTGGTGCTACCTTATCTAGCATGTAGCGGAACATTGATTCTAATCATTCAGTTGCCTGGTCAAGTTCTTCGAGATCAGACAGTGATCCAATCATAGTTGGTCATTCTGGGAGATTACTGATAAATCTCTGTGCAGTTGCTGACGTGAATGTATGTTGGACGCAGTAGGATGGCAAGGTGCATATATTATGATTAATATACATTATAAATGAGATGAGATAATGGTCTGAGATAGCTTCAGACTGCACAAATGTGACTATATTTTCTATATTTAATCTGAACGTTTAAATCAAGAGTATGACTACCACTACGAGTGGGTCCTATTACATTCTGATTAACTCCTACTGAATCAAGAATGGACATAACCGCTGTTCTCAGAGGATCTTCTGGATTATCAAAATGAATATTAAAGTATCCAACAATTAATGCTTTGTCTAAAGAAATAACCAGGTTAGAGATGAAATCCGCAAATTCACAAAGGAATGCAGAATATGGCCCTGGGGGTCTGTAAATAATAATTAGCGGAATCGTCTGGGTAGACCTATTTTTTGTGGCTATGTATGATTACTATCTCCTAAAAGGGCAATGACTCTTAAAATGATGCACCATGGTTTGAAACATGTCTTTTAACGTCATGCTTTATCAGTATCATGCTTATAGCCACAAGGTGGCCATTATTAATTTGATTGCTTAGCAGGCATTATCTTGGTTGAGTATTAGTATGATAATTGTGGCTGATTATTAGCAGTCTAGTAACCACAGCTTATAAATGCCGTGTTTGGTATGTGTGTGATTGTTGTGTAATTTCCTAAGAGTTGGGATAAAGTAAATTGGAGTACAATGCATTACATCCATGTTACAGAATTCATGACCAAAGTTCTAACTTTACCTTGTGGAAAGTTAGAAAAGGCACATTACTCAGAGCCCTGTATGCTGATTATTGTCAGAGGAGGAGAATGCAGTTTACACCCTGCCCCAAGATCCTGCTGACTGGAGCAAGCACTTTGAGGTCAGCCCAACTGGAAAGGGTTAAAACCCCCCTGACACAAAGGAAACTCTGAATTCTCTTCAACTAACAGCTCAAGAGAATCTCCATCCACACCTGAAGAGAGTCTCATCCATCCACATCTCGAGGAAGTCTCTTCAACCAACATCTGCAGGAGTCTCTTCCAGGAGTTCTCATCAACCAAGAGCTTCAGAAGTTCTCACCCCTCGACATCACAAGGTGATCACGCTCGTGCCGAGACTCTGCATCCAGCCTGGTTCCTGCAAAGCCTCCAGCTCCCGCCTTTGCACCGCTGTGAACCATTCATCAAAGTTTTGCAACCCGAGACTCAGCCAAGTTCACTCCTCACTCTGTTTATCATCCTCATTGGTCTTCCGAGATGCTACATAAGGCCAACCAGACTGCCGACCAATCAGCATCGCTGGAAAACTCCTCCAAACAATGACGCAACCAGGGAATCCCTGGCAACACAAACGCAAGTGTAGCACCTCCAGATTCTAGCTGAGTGGTCATGGTCTGAGAAACTGCTAGAAACTTGGGAATTCATTCACTCTCTGTTCAAAGCCATTTTCACCCCTGTTTGTGTGTGTGTGTGCATGTGTGTGTGTGTGTTTGTGTTGGATTAGTTTCTTTGTCTTAGAATAGTAATAAAGTCTCATCTGATTTTAAATGCAAGTGTCTTGTGTCTGTATGGTAAATTAATAGTGCGTGATTTGTATGATTAATATGAGTACTAGAAATAGTTTTCTGGCTAAAGTTTTAGTACTTTAGACACATTTGAAAGTACCCTCTGAGCTAATATAAAAAGCTAATACTTGCAAGTTTAAATAAAAACCTCTGACAAGTAAATAGAAACGCTTGCATGTCAATAGAAATCTTTGAGCTAACTGAATAATTGTTTAATAAATAGGCTATATAAAAGGCTCTGAATTAGGAATGTCACTTTATAATGAAAGCTTAGTATGAAGCTGTTTTAGATTAAATGTAATTTGAACACTGACATTTTATCCTTTTAGTACCTTAACTAAAAGGTTGTTAAGCTAAATAATTATTGGAGTCAGATATTACGGAATAAAATTCAAACAAGCATTTAACCTTCAGCCACACCTATTTCTGTCCTTGGTCAAAGGAGAGCAGCGGACTAAGATAATATAATTTTATACTTAGTCCTACACTCTCACAATGTTTCTGTCTGTAAGGGGTCAGCCTCAGTCTGCCACAGGCATGAGAAGGAAAAATGAGGGCCACCTTGATGTGGGAGCATCAGCCCACAGAGTGTGCTACAGTAGACCAGTTTGTTCAGACCATGTATAATACTTTCAACAATCCAGTTGGTGACAGGGAGTCAGCTGTTTGCCTCATCCTTATTCGGCAGGGCATTCATCCTGTGGTTGATTATGTCATTGAGTTCCGGACTCTTTAAAAAGTGGCTGCAACTCAGAGGCTCTTATGGCTGCTTAACACCAGGGGCTAGCAGACAACATAAAAGCTGAGCTCACTGTCAGATAGACACCCTCATCTCTGGAGAGTTTGTTTGAGCTCACCGTCAAGCTGGATGATTGGCTGTGAGAGCAACATAGGGAACGCCGGGTTCCTCAGGCCAGGTGCCTTTCTGAAGCAACACTTTCACTTGAGCCTTCCAGCCCCTCAGCTAGAAGGTTCACTGAACCCTTGGAACAGATCATGCCACTGGGAAGTACCCACCTTTCCCAATTTGAGCGGGATGCTTGTATGAGGGAGAGCCATTTTCTTTAATGTGGGCATCCAGGTCATTTTTGTGCTTCATTTCCAGAGCTCATGGGAAACATACAGCCCTCCCGAGTTCGTTTCCACTGGGATTTACCTCAATGCTGCCACATTCTGGAGAGACTACCTAGACAGGTTGGTCACCATGTTTCTGGACTCAGGTGCTATGAATAATTTTATTGACACCTCTCTAGTGGCTTCCCTCAAATTACCTCTGAAACCCTTAGTGCATCCTTTCTCAGTTTCTGCCATTTTTGGATGGTCTTTGTGTGTTTTTGTGTGTGATGTAAAAAAAATGATAGATCATGTCATGGCAGATCTTGCTATATTGGATTAAAGCAACCAACAAAATTCCAATGAAAAAGAAATTGAAATGTTTTAGGGTAAAAAGATAAAGGAAAGACTTACAATAACCTAGTTGCACATGTATTGAGGCATGTAACTGTGCTTAGAATTAACTAATCACATTCAAACTCATGTTCAAAAGTAGTTATTATACACCTGTCATCAATGAAGTGATTCTGATTAACCCCAAGTAAAGATCAGCTATTTCTGTAGGATTTTCTTGACATCTTCTTGATTTCATCAGTCTGGAAAGAGCCATTTTCAAAAAGTATTGATCAGGAAAGGGGTACAAAAGAATTCCCAAAACATTAGATCAAGTGGAGAAAATGGGGCACCACAGTGATATTACCAAGAACAGGACATCCCTCCAAATTGACAAAAGGACAAAAACTTATCAGGGAGGCTGCCAAGAGACCTATGGCAAGGAGCTACGGGAATATCTGGCAGAAACTATTCACTCCCTGCATGTGACACTAATCTCTTGTATTCTTCACAAGTCTGGGCTATGTGTTAGGGTGGCTATTTCTCATAGAAGCCCTTTCTCGTAGGAAAAAAACATCCAAGCCCACCTAAATCACCCCAGACCATGTAGCAAAATGTGTTATGGTCTGAGACCAAGGTAGAACTTTGTGGGCATAATTTATAAAACATATGTTTGATGAAAAAAACAAGACAGCTTATCACCCAAAGAACACCACATCCAAGTATAGTGGTGGCAGCATCATTATATGGGGTCGCTTCTCTTCTGCTGGGGTTCTAGTCAAGGGAATCATGGATAGCTCCAAATACTAATAATCTATTTTGGCACATTTTAAATTTTTTTCCAATTCTCATTTCAGCCTGACCAAAAACCCTAGCTGGGACTTGAACCCAGGCCACAGTGATGAGAAGGCTGTGTCCTAAACATTAGTCCTTCAGGGTCCCTATTCTGTAGTTTGTTACATTATATAAATGGAAATTCTGCCTCACAGACCCAGGGTCCTGAGTTTGACAACTCAAAATAGCTAACTGAAAGGGTGATAAAATAGCTTACATTCCATGCATACATTATGATTTCATCAATTGGATTTATCTTCACAGCTTCATTAAGTGAACAATTAACAGTTTTTTTATATTCTGGATTGACAAACAAACAAACAAACAAACAAATAATGCAAAATAATAGGATATACTGGATTAAGTGCTATTTTATAAACTTCCAAATAATGAAGGTGGAATCCATACTGTTAAATTAAACCAGATTTGCATAAGGTGAGAGTGATGAGGAGGAGGGTGGGGCCAGGCTGTGAGGATGCACGTCTGGCACCTCCCTCCTCATCGTCACAGTAATGATTACAGTGATCATTATTCATGCAGTAATATAGTGGTAATACATTAGCTCCTATTAGATTCATTTCATTACTTGCCATCTTCTGATTCATATATCACCATATTATTCTTTCTTTTTTTTTTTTTCATTTTTTGCTTTTATGTTACACTGTATTACATTTGACAACAAAGAAAAAAATGCTATTTCCTCATTTAGTCCACTTTTTTATCCTTGATTTTATTTGGGTTTAAAGACAAATATGTGTTTAAAGGTGGTGGTCAAGATGCTAGTGAAAAACCCTGTCTCTGACACGTCTACTTAAGAATATGGCAACCTTGGAGGAGTGAACTAAATGTAATTTACATAATCTGAATGGGGAGCCCAAAAAAATCTACTTAAGCATCTGCATAACCCACCTCTGAATACATGCAAGTTTCCTAGCATAAATACTGATGTAGCTTTTAGAATTAGGACACCAACTCTGAATATGGCCCTCTACGAATGTCAGAATAAAAAAACTCCTCCAGTGACATTTTTTTGCGCTTTGACCCATATATGTACACAAATAATTTCTCTCAACAGAAAGTTACCATTAAATTATATTGAATAAAGTTTACAATCGCTGTTACAATGACTGAATGTCAAATTACCCTCACCTTGTGCAAAACACTGTATGGTTTAGTACAATGGAAAGTAGGAGTCATGAGAGTACACTAAATATAATGGAAGAACAAAGTTAACATGATGTCATTGAATGATATCATGGTGTTGCAGATAGCATACCAGTGTGTGTGGGTCAGTCTGTTATTTTTAGGTAAAGGCTCTGACTCTGAAAATTGTTTCTACATCTGTTAGACATTTTCTTAGTGTATTTGTTTTAAAAAGGGAATTTTTATTCTTACTGTTTTGCCAAGTTATTTTTATAAATTAACATTTTTAGTAAATTATTAAGAGAGAAATTTGGTAGGCTGTCATGCCAAAGATATTGACAGGGTAAGGTAAAAAAATGGTGCAGCGTGATTTTAATTGAAGGGCAGACATTTTTAGGTCAGATTGCACATTTACAGGAATCTAGGAGAGTAAAATGATTGCCACTGCTTACTGGGACTATAATATTAAATATAAGACAAATTGGCGATAGCAACCCACTAAGAACCTATGGCATTCCTGATTTGCTCTGCATTATTAATATGTAGAAAGGTATATTGATACCTGTATATATTCATCATATCATATCAGAAAGATGCCTTAATCCAAAATAGTTATTATTACATATTAGTTTTATTATACATATTATTTACATATTATTGTATATTATTATGGCTTTTATAGTATCTTTGTCCCATCCATTTTATGACAGTTCCTGTAGTAGTGAATAAAAACAAACCCATGGGGTAAATGTGGGGTGCTCAGACACTTGCTAGTTACCTGAGAGCTTGATTTAGTCTCATTAGGGCTTGCGTGAAGCTGATGGAAGTTATGTGGTGGCAAGTGGTGGTGATTTGAGGGTGGTATACATCAAACACCAAAGAGGTTACAAAATTGCAAGTGATATTGAGGTGGGCAAGCAAGCTCTGAAAGTAGGCAGATAGACACCATTTGGCTTAAGAACTGGCTACATATCAGGCTGATGAAATAAGATAGTGGACACAGTCACAGCGCCTGTCTTGTACCCAGGGATTGGCAAAAAGGTTTGTATATAGTTTATTACAGTTTGTCCAAGGAATTGTGCTATTCTAAAGTCTGTTTACTTACTGTTTTATGTTTAAATACCTGTCCTCTTAACATTTTTAGAGAAGTATTGCAAACTGTAGGTGTCCTTGACAGTATATAATTTGATACAAAGAATATGAAGCAAAGGTCCCTGGAGGACTAGTGGTTAGGCCTTGATGCTCTCACTGCTGTGGCCTGGGTTCAATTCCTGGCCAGGGAACCAAACCCAGCCACTGGGGGGTGCACTCCCAGTGCTGGTTCCAAGCCCGGATAAAATTGGGGAGGGTTGTGTCAGGAAGGGCATCTGTCATAAAAACCAAATCAAATATGCAGACCTTTTTTTTTTTTGTAACCATCAAATGCAACCAGTATCACACTGAAGTTATGATGTGAGTAACACTTATTTCTGGAAAAGACATTTGCTGGATGAGCTAAGCCATTAATTCAACATTACTATATATTGGAGTTCACCTCTTGAGCCTACAGAGTTATGTAGGGGCGATCTGCGATCTGACAAGTCTTATTAACTTTTGTATATTTTTTTCTGTTAGTATTTTTATTAGTATGCATCAAGGCTAAGTAGCTCCCCACCTTGATTGTAGCTTTTAAATAGTGCTTAGCTACTCCCCAATTCATCTTTGCTGCTAACTCCTGTGCCCATTTGGACATTGCAATATACAAATATTGTTGGTTGCTGAATATCATCCAGTGACATTGATATTTACATCAATCCTCTAGATACTGCCTGTGTGTTGATCACTCTGCTGGGAATGTAATTGTGACTATCTGGTCAAACAGGCATTGTCCTATTAAAAAAATTTCATCACAAATCAACAGGAATGTTGATATGCTTATGATCCTGGAAACTTGGCAACAAACTGAACATCTTATGCACATGAGCACAATAGTTATATCTGGGTTTATTCATGGTTATAAACAGCATGCCCTATTATAGAACTATAGAAATGATATCAAATACAAATATCTTAAATATAGGCAAATTCAGCTAACAAATAAAAACTATCAATTCAAATAACAGCCAAACGAATAAAATAAGAATAAGCTTGAAATTAGTAAATACATCTAGAAATAGGCTTAAAGGTCTTATATTTGTTACAAGAAGATTTTTTTGCAGTGTAAAGCCTACTCTTCTCTTATCTGCCATCCCATCTTCCACCTTATTAACAGGTTGCTTGAAACAGGTTTTTGTTCCTTTAAATCTCAAAACTACTGCTGTCAGTCCAGTTTTCAAACATACCAGCCATGACCCTAATGAAACTTCTAATTATAGACCAATTTCTAATTTTTCTTTCTTTTTTCTGTCCAGAGCATTTGAGAGGCAATCTCTTTGAGCCTTTCTGATCAGGTTTCTACCTCTCTTAATACTGAGGCTGCACTAGAATTACTAATGGTCTACTCTTTTCTGCTGATACTGGTACCATCAACATTCTGTTAGATCTCAGTCATCTCCCAGCCAATGCCCTGGTTAACCATAGCTCTCCCATTTCCGCTATCAGTATTTCTGACATGGCTCATGTTTTGTTCACATCTTATATTTCTGAATAATATATATCACCAAATTGGGAAGCATTAATCCTGTCCTACCCATATCACCCAAGATGTCCCTTAAGGATCAGTACTTGGTCCCCTTATTTTCACCATATATATATATATATATATATATATATATATATATATATATATATATATATATATATCTTGGCCAGATAATTCACGAACACTGTCCTAGCATTACAATGCATATGATACTTAGTACTATGTCCACTACAGCTCTTCCTCCCACCTCATTAAAAATCATAGATGGACTCCAACTTTCTTAAATTAAACCCTGGTAAAACAGAATATTTTTTACTAAAATCTTTTACAATTTTTTACTAAAATTCTAAAATATTTCATGTATATAGATGGCATCACTGATAACGTGTATTATTCATAAACTTGGTACAATTTTTGACAATAAACTTTCATTTGAACCCCATATTATGTCACTCACAAAATTACTTTTCATCAGCTCTATAACATTGCCTGGCTTTGACTCTTACTTAGTTCAAAAGATGCCTAAACCCTTGCTCGCAATTTCAGATCCACCAATACTGGCCTAGTATTGGTGCTTAAGACCAGGCTGACTTTAGCAGAGGGCAGATATTTTAGTGCCACTGCCCCCGGACTTTGAAATGCCACCCCTCAAAACCTTTCGTCCTTCTCCTGTATTAAGAGTCAGCTTATGATAAAACCTGAAGGATCCCCTTGCTTGATATTGTGTTAATGTTAATATTTAAGTTCTTTTAATCTCACAATAATACAGTGTAATTGCTGTATTGTGCTGTAGTGTTAATGTTTACAGTGTAACTGCAATATTAGCTGTAGTGTTAATGTAACATGTGTACTGTAGTGTTGATGTAAGACCTTGGCTCATTCCAGATTTACTCTGTGTGACTCATATTTAAAATAGCCTGGATCATGCCTTCAGAACAGGCATGTGTATCAATCAACAGAGGCACGCACATGTATAGCAACAGCTAAGCAGCAAAAATAGACGCAGGGTGCTGGCAAGCTGCAGAAAACATCCAGTGGCATGGGATATTACCTTAAAGAATTTTATTCTGTGTCCATAGGTGTCTGAGTATTTCTGTGGACCAGTGAACTGTGTATGTATATAGCACACATAAGAAATTTCCAAAATCATGTAAGTACCTAATATCTACACTGTCTTAATATTTTAACATATATTATATATGTATACAATTACAGTTTTTTCCCCTCATATCTAATTTAAGGAGGCAAAAAAAGAAATGTGGTATGAGTTTTTTGTTGGGTTGAGAAAGTGGGCAGGAGTGAGACTAATTATTCTTAATGTCTTAGGCTGGCCATCTGTTGT